TGGCTTCTTTCTGTTTTGTGCCGCGGTAGCTTGCAGAGCTATTGTATTCATTTGGGTGGCTAAATATAATATGGCCAAATTGAGGATAAGTCTAATGCCTGAATCAAATAATGTACCCATTTCTCCTATAACTCCTTATAGTCCCATTCATGACAGGATGGAAAATCCTGCCGCGAGATTAATGCGTCAACTAAAAAAATGGAGGAAAAATGCAACTGATCGATGGTTGGCAAATCGAATTTTGTATCCAACCATAGCAATTGCATTTTTACTAGCTTTTATTTTTCAATTGGTTTCTCCGGATATTAGTCTAAATCCCTTGCAAACGGATTGTCCAATAGGTCCTGAGTATGTGTCCATTTAAATTTTTTTTTTTTTTTCTTATCTCTATATAAACAAACTCACTCTCTTTTTATATCTGTATTTATTAGACATATTCCCATTTTTTTTCTCCTCACTTTTTTCCTCTTTATCATTTGTCCTATCCTTATTTATCTCTTATATAGTATAAGAGACGCTTATGGTCTTAGAAATGAGTTGATGGCCACTTTGATTGTCGGTTCTTTTACTTTCATCATGTTTGGTGTCTGGGAATCTTCTTTACCTCATCTCAAACCTTATTTCGGAAGTTTTATGTTCCCATGGATCACTTTTATGTTGAGTCACACTTTATCAATTACGATACCTGTTTGGAATTCATATAAAAGTTCTTTTGATATTTCAAAGTTGGCAATATTCCATGATAAAAGGATTTCGCGTTCAAAGAAATACGAACAATTTGAAAAGGTTTTGGCTGATCCTGATCTATTTAAACTTTATAAAGGTAATGTCAACTTCTGCTTAGCATCTGCTTAGCATCTGCTTAGCATTATTAAAATATCTTTTTTTTTAACAATATTAATAAATCTAACTTCTCTTTTTTACAGCCTGTGCCGTAGCATGTTTTTGCACGGAGTTAATCCTCTTTTTAGAGGAATACCAATTCCTAAAAATGTTAGTGGCCAAATGTTGCACCCCATCGAAAAGTTTAATTCCACCACCAACTCCTAAACTTCACCTGGTAGACAGCAATCACATTTTATTTACTGAGGAAACTCTACTTATAAAAGATACTTCTATTTTACCACCGTTATCACCTTCAATTTACGTTTCTACTCCATGTACAAAGTCAATCGTTGAATCGATTTCTGCTGCCTCCTGGATTCCATTCCCTTATGAACTTAGATATGACTATAGATCGTTTTATGATACTTATTTGGATCCAAATTCGGACTTGGCAATTAATTTTTCTGGAAGTATAGTAAATAATGTTAAAAATATGATAGATAAGGGTCAATTTGAGTTGTCCATGTATGAAAATGCTAGAGAAGAAACATTGACTTTATTGTATGTCAACACTTTTGAAAAGTTTTTGGGTATGTTTGAATCAGAGATTAGAAGTAAAAAAATCTACATTTAATTATAGGAGTGGAACTCCTCTAATAATGTTATTTGGAAATATATATTTAGTAAATAATTTTTCTTTCTTGGACGCTAATACAGTAATAGTTTAGTATATCAATAAAATTTATTGATAATGTACAATAATGATATATAAAACAACTTGTAGTTTAATAATTCAATGTTTATTAATTAGGCAAATATGAGGAAATAGAATTATCAGTTTAATTAAAAGAAGAAAATATTGTTAGACCTTGTCGACTGTGATTATTAAAATTCGATTTTTATGAGTGCCGCTGAGGGAAAACAATTATAATTAATTATTATTAGCCAGATTCAATCCTGATCCGAGATATAAACATATTTGAAAGCCCGAAGTCTTTGGTTGTTGCAGAACCAACAATGTTCTAAACTATATTCTGACAATAGCTCACATTGATCATGCATTGTTAGCATGAATATAACGATAAATTCAGATAGATAGATAGATAGAGATGAGATCCGTGAATATTCAGTTACGCAAAATCCGTGAATTATCGTTATTTAACAAACGTCTGTATAAAAAAAGCACCAGCATAACCAACAATCGAGGGGGCAGTCACGTGATGGACCGACCAATTATGTGATCGATAAATATTG